ATTATAACACTGGGGCATATGCCTATTTTGGGTCTTTAAATGACTGTTGTATTATGAGATGTCATCATATTCTCTTCCAAGCATTTAATATAGGATGTACACTGTGGGTGTTTTTCCTGCCAGGATGGAGATAACCTGAGGGTTTCTGTAAATATGCCTTTTTAAAGGTTTAATATCAAATTTCAAATAGATTTAACCTGGGGTTTTGACTAAACCAATTGGGTGCAGGTCCCTATTTCTGCATAGTCGTTAGGTGAGTTTCTCTGCAGTGTCAGGCCAGGAAGGAATTCCTGGAGTCCTGAAGAGACAGACATCAAAGGCTGAGCTGAAGAATCAATCTCCTTCTATTCCAGGACAGAACATTAGCAAATTTAGGTATAGACTGGAGCAACCCAAGGTCCTGGGCTAGAGGGGCCCAGGATGAGGAATGAGTGGCTTCTGCCATTCAAGACCAAGCTGGGTGCCTTGGGGAGTTCCTTCCTGACCTCTCCGTACTAGGAGGATACCACCCTACCAACTAGGCTGGAGCCCTGTCTCAGTCTGTAGACTTGAATTGGGAGGAAGGGGAGTCACCTGACCTACCTCTGCAGGTCCCTAGGAGGCTGCAGAAAGGGAGAAGTGTGTTGTAGGCAATCCACCAGATTCTAATCCTGGAGAGACAAACCCAAGAAAATCTCACTATCTTAAATGTCTTCTTGATTTGCTCCTGAACCTCCTTGTGTGGGTCATGGGGGTAGGCAAAAGTGTTACTGTATTGATGAGAACGATTCTTTGGCGCAGGCGGAAGCTATTGTTTTGTATTTAAAGAACAGTTAAAGCTCTGAAAGTTATGTCTCCAGCTTTGACCAGCCCAGTACAGCAGATACAACCTCTCTCAGGGTTCTATCTTCCCCAAACCCGCTGGGTTGTGTGAACCAAAATCTTGGCCCCAAGAGGTGGAGTGCTCATTTCTAAGCCCTGGAACTTCCAAAGTTCTTACAGAAATGAGGGTATCTCTGACACTTGGGGGAGCAAATAAAGCAGATGGAGTGTGCAATGGAGTTGGGATCTGGGCCCTGGCCATGCAGGCATTTAGGGGTAAGGGTCAGGGAAGGGACCTCTTGTTCAGGCCTGTTCTCTGGGGCCCAGGTGCCCAAAGCCATGCTTTCAATTTCCCCGTGCCAGCCTCATTCTCAGGCCTCAAAAGGATCCCACATGAAATCCCACCCTCTCCCTGGAACCAGAGCTGACAAAAATATGGGAATGATGGAAAATCAAAGCAAAGCAGGGGCGTGGCTGGCTGACTCCTATCCGAATGGGACTTTTTTTGGGGTGGGGGTTGGGTGAAGAGAAGAGAAGGTTCTGGCGAAAAGTCGAGCTGGAGAGGATGAGCTGAATCAAATTTCTGCCCTGTCATTTTTCTCCCAAGTAATGACCTACGAAAAATTCAATATGACCGAGAGAACTGCGCGAGCGTATTATAGTAACTGCCTGCTCGTGGGGGAGGCCCGGAGAGAGGTGAATTGCGGGTCACGGCGTCTAAAAATTATTAAAATGTTTGAGAGCCTCGTGACGCGCCTAGCTGTTTAACAAAGACTGCCAAAGTATGAGATTAATACGAAAACTTGCGCTTCCAAAACAAAAACATACAAAAAAAAAGTCATGTTCCGGCCTCTGAGGGAGCCCGTGGCTCTGCCCGCCGTCGCGGTCCGGTTTTCCGGACACACAATAGTGGACAAGAGCGAGCTCAGCTGTTGCCCAGCGCGTCCGCGGGCGGGTCGGCGGCCGGCAGGGCTGGGGAGCCTCCCGGTGAGTACCCTCGCCCGCGCCCCCTCTGGGCCTTTTTCTCCGCCGCGCCTCCGCCGCCGCCGCCGGCTGGGGACTCGCCTCCGCTCGGGCCTTCGGTTTCCCTCCCTCGTTGAGTCCCTCCTCCCTGCCGACAAAAGGTGATGATTCCTCGTGGACTGGGCACACTCGGACTGCGGAGGGGGACTGGGTGGCGCGAGGTCACGCTAGCAACCTGTAGCTGCCAGGAGAAGGCGGCTAGCAAGCCGCGGAAAGACCCGGGAGCGCAGGGGAGGTGGCTCCGATCCGCGCATGGCCCCTGCTCTTATTTTATTATTATGCGAGTGGCTGTTGGTATCCTTCTGGGCGGTGGAGGGGAGAGGCAGCCTCCTGCTGCGGTGAAACCCGTCCTGGGAGTCGCCCATAAACCCTGTCCTCCAACTCGGACTGCTGGAGGGGTGAGGGGGGTGCCGCGCCTCGGTGGGATTGGCAGGTGGCGGCTCCCAGCGCGCAGAGGAGAAAACTCTCTGTTCTTGGGCTCCAGGATCAAGGATACCAAAACCCGCGGTGGCTGTAGCCCCCGTTCCTCTCTCTTGGGGTGCTGGGGCACCTGGGCCGCATGTGAAGTGTAGAGCAGCAGAGAGGCTCGGCAGCCGGCCCAGCGGCCCTCCCAAACTTCCGAAATGCAGACGGGTTGGACGGGTTTCCGAGAGTTGGCGAGTTAAGAAGGACAGGAGGTATGGGGTGGGGGAGGGGCCCGGCCGATTGGAGTGGGTCCTGGAGACCCTAAGCGACCTTTGACAAGACATGGAAAGGTCCCTGCTTGACGCTAGGGAGCTGCTGGGGATCCTAGCAGCGCATTTTGTTTGTGGGCCCAGGGCCAGACTCTAGTCTCTCTGCCCAGATGGGGGTCTGAGAATACCTATTGGACCCTCTCTTGGCAAAGACAACCACAGTGTAATAGTTTGCTTTTTTCTCCCAAATATGTGTGAGTTCAGCTTGTCTGGGAGAATGTTGATGTTAGAAGTCAGGCCCAGAGGCTAACATTGGCAATTCCTAGATTTAAAATTAAAGGAAAATCAGAGAGTCTCTGGACCTAGTTGTAGGCAGGTGGGAACTTTCCTCCTACCCACCTGCAAGGTCCCAGGACTGGGGATAGGCAGAGACTCTGGAGTGTTGTACTTAGAGGATTGTTTTTGTGTTGTTCCTGTATTTGTTAATGAAATTGATATTATTTTGACTTTCTCACTAGAGCTGCGAGTATCTCTCAGACCTAGGGAGTTGAGTAGGGAGTCTGGGTGGGGTGGAGGCTTTTTCTATGCACATTTTCCCTTACTCTGTCACAGCTTTCACAGTCTCAGTTCCCTCCTGCCCAATCCCCAGACTCTCCGCTTAGTAAATTCACGGCTTTTGGGAGCCTCAGGAAGTGGGTTCGGAAACCCCAGATGCCCATTTTGGTTCTACCACCAGCAACCCAAGCAGGTGGCTAGGCGAGTTCGTGTGTGTTAAGAAGGAGAGGACCCGCCTGGGGCTAGGAAGGTGGGGAGATGGGGTTCCTCCCCACACCTCCCCTGGATAGTCCCCCTCTCCTGGCTCCCAGGAGGTGTGAGAAGCTGGGAGGGGTCCTATATCATCTGGCTGCATCTTTTATGGTTCCTCATTGCCCTTCATTCGGAAATGAAACGCCTTTGATCTTTTCTCAGGTTGTAAACCGAATTGCCCGTCATTAAATATCCGGGGTCCCATCTGCTTGGTCTCCCAGCATTTTTCTTTACAGCTGTTTCTCTCTCTTTTTACCATTGAATTTTTCCAAAAGGACTTTTATTACGCCTCCTTCACACCAAGCCGCCTCTTGCCTCCTCTCTTCGCTGAGAGGCTGAGAGGCGCTTTGGAAATATCTAGATATTCGTTTGATCACAAACTAAAGACTTGGAGGGGCACAAGGAGCCGATTGGAGTTTTGTTTTTGCTTAAAAAAAAAAAAGTCTTCGGGGGAGGGGAGGGGCGCGAGGGCACCCAGAAAGGCCTGAATCTGACTTCGCGGCAGCCTCAGAATGACCCTTCCTCCTTTTGTGCTTAGCTAATGTTTACATCTCATAATTCATGCGCCACCGAGAGTTGCGCGGCGGCGCGGCGGCAAGGTTCGCGTCCCTTTGCGAACTGGCTGCTTGTAATTCTAATAGGAGAATTGAAAACCTTGTAATCCCAAGAACGGAGTCGCAGTGCCTTTTTCTGTTCCCAGGGCTCAAAACTAGAACAAAACGAAATAAAACCAAAGCACTCAAACCACACCCCAAAAGAAGAACACGCGGAAAATAGGAGAACTGGAAAATTTCTGGGCCAAGAAGATCTGTCTGTCTTCTGTATATACCCTGTAGATCCGAATTTGTGTAAGGAATTTTGTGGTCACAAATTCGTATCTAGGGGAATATGTAGTTGACATAAACACTCCGCTCATATTTTTCCAGAAGAAAAAAATATATATACGTATTATTTTTCTGAATGAGGAAAATCCGGTGACTGGCCACACGAAGACGCCTTTCTCTTTCTTCCTCTTTCTTTTCCTCCTTCAACTGGTTAAAGATGGAGAAATCATCTACCTGAACTCTCCCCACGCCTGCCCCCGGGAGCCTTGGTCCTTTTTCACCTCTTTTTAAAGAGGTTAATGTTATTGTTGTTGAAGTATTAAATTTATCTTCTCGTCCAAAACGCACCCATTTTCTATTCTGGGCTCAGGGAGGCTTTATTGGAAATTTCGAAAAAAAATTACTTGTCTTCAGTGTTCCAAGAAGGCAAAGGAAATTTGCTTAACAAACGGATGTTGAGGCGGCCTTTCCGTTTCATTTCAGAACAAGATGCCCTGGAAATACTTAATTACCAAGGGGTGTTATTGTCTGTGGGGTCACCTCTAGGGCTGTATCCCCAGCATCACAGGGATGTGAGATTTCCATTCGCCGCGGAGGCGGCGGCATTAGTGACTATTAGAATGTCTCGGCGCCATGGGTAGTATTGCTCGGGTGGTTCTGGAATTAGCAAATTATTAATCAATTTTGCCCTCAAAATTTGCAGGCTTTTTCTTTTCTTTTCTTTC